TAACCCATCATCCTCAACGATAGTTTAAATCTGCATGGAGATGGCTTAACCCATCATCCTCAACGATAGTTTAAATCTGCATGGAGATGGCTTAACCCATCATCCTCAACGACAATCTAAAGCTTCCCTGAGATGGCTTAACCCATTATCCTCATTTCACAACAGTCTAAATCCACCCAGAGATGGCTTAACCCATCCCCGTCATTTCACGACAGTCTAAACCTGCTCGAAGATGGCTTAACCCATCACCACATCAATCGGCAGTCTAAAGCTGCTTGGAGATGGCTTAACCCATCATCCTCAACGGTAGTATACAGCTATCCAAAGTTGATTTAATCCATCATCCTCATTGGTAGTCTCAAGTTACCGGGAGATATCTTAACCCATCATTCCCAATGACAGTCTCAAGCTACCCGGAGATGGCTTAACCCATCATCCTCAACGGCAGTCTAAAGCTTCTCAGAGATGACTTAACCCATCATCCTCAGTTCACAACAGCCTAAAGCTGCTCAGAGGTGGCTTAACCCATCATCTTCATTTCACGAAAATCTAAAGCTGCTCGGAGATGCTTTAACCCATCATCCATATCGCCAAGTAGTTAAGACCTTAAAAGCTTTATGCATCGTGCGACATTTGGTTACCGAAGGGGGACTCCTTCGTTAATATAAGGAGTTCTCTCATGAAATCACCTCCATTGGATTCTTAACTCATTGCTTTATCACCCTTAAAAGGTGTAGCATGCATTGACTTGAACAATGAAAGTCGTTGCAGTCCACTAACAACAGTAACGAATCCCTAATTTTGTTCCCACGAGATCATGAGGTTCGAGTGTTTGAAATTGAAGACAAGCGTCAATGATTATACCTACATGAACAACCCAACAACGAGATTAGCAGCATGAAAGGATAAACACAAGACGTAAACAACATTACGAAGATAAGGATTACACCCTACAGATTTCTCTGATTCAAATGAAAGGATAAGTCCAAGATGAAGATGGAGGGTGAAGATTCAAATATGAGAAATGCATGGTTGTCCCTTGAGAAAAACCAAAATTTAACAATATAAAATGGGGATCTCCCGATTGAAGAGGGGTCACACATTTTTTACAGACACAATTCAGTAAAGATAAGTATTCTTGCGGGGGTTTTTTTACCTTAGTAAGAATTAAATAGTGGGAAAAGAGAGTGAAATACTCAGGACAAAAAGAGAGAGATAATCGTCTCCTACGATTCACTTAAAACTCGTTCTCTTAAGAAGACCAAACCTAACGGATAATATCACTGCCTACATCCCCAGGTATATATGCTAATATGACCCTGATATTATATTTTCTCTTTTGATATGACTATATATGTTTTTCCTTAGAAACGAATGTATAGGTTTCAAGGCCAGAATCAAAGGTGTTCGGCTTATATTTTCTCTCTTTAGCCAATATAAATTGTAACAGGAGATTAAACATCTGAAATTATTCAGTGCCTAGTATAATATAAAGCTTGTGTTTCTGACCTGGAATACACGAGTGAATTTGGCCCCGAATGTGATGTCCTCTGATTTTCAATTTGGAGTCTAATGTTTGTTTAAACATTACCTTTTAAGCATTCACATTTCGACATGTCCAGGAATCAACGTAGAAGTCAAAGAAAGGACAAACATTGCCAGGAGATCAACAATGCAGATTGAAAGATCATATCCTTATGGTTATCAGCTGGAGATTAAAGCTTATCGCTTCATGAAAATTGAATAAACCTTGATGTTAATCAAGAGGGGGGTTCGCATTTCATTTTGGGCACATATTTTATTTATACACTCTAGGTGCTAGACATTTATTAGTGAGAGTGGGTAAGAGAGAGAGAGAGAGAGAGAGAGAGAGAGAGAGAGAGAACAATGATTGTAATCCGTAGAAGACAGAGATTTGTTCCATGCTCCAAGTGCCCACTTGAGGTCGGTTCTTAAAGAAGGAAACACACAGAAGAGTAATGGTGGAACTATAGGCTAGGTCTCGATACCTAGTATGATAGACTAGGTCTCAATACCTAGTGTGGTAGGCTAGGTAACAATATCTAATATGATAAGCTAGGTCTTAATACTTAGGCTTGGTAGACTATGTCTCAATACCTAATATGGTGGGTTAGGTCCCAATACCTGGTATGATAGGCTAGGTCTCAATACCTAGGCTTGGGGCGTGCCCCTTTCTTAAACTCTGAGGTTTTGGGGCGTGGCCCTCTTCTCTGTTTTCAAAGAGAACTATATTTTAGGGAGGCTTAAAGAGGCAAGCGATCAAGAGAGAGAAATAGAGAGAGGGTTATGTGTCACCTTGTGAGGGAGAGAGAGAGAGCTCACGGTGTGTAGAGAAACCATCCTCCATTAAGAGCTATTTATATATTTTCTCTAGGGTTAGGTTTACTTAGGGTTAGCCATTTTTTTGGAGAATAGATTCAGACTATTGATCATAGGAGACTTGTGAGGTGTGAGATCTTGGAGGTACAATCATTAAATCAGCCATCATGATTAAAAAAGAAGGTGGTAAGATATTATCCTTTAGCTTCTTTAACCAAATTCTATCAAATAAAAATAATATGAAAAATACGTTATATTTTCCTATCTCTTTCATCCGTCTCTTACACGTACTTTAATTTGACAATCATCACTTTTAATTTTCAAAACTTTTCTATTAACACTCGATTGAGTGGCTTGATATGGTGGTCACAAAATAGGAAACAAGCATAAAATTGGTTGTGCTCCTCATGGGGCCTTTAATAGGCCCTGTGCACCACTCACATGTGTAAATTATGGTGGGCCCCATAGCTCATGGTGGGAGCCCATATATTTTATGATCTATAAAATATAGAAATAACTTTTAAAAAATGTTATCAATTTTATTTTTCTCTCTGAATATTTAAATTATTGAAAATTCAGTCTCTTTTTATTTATAAATCCATTTTGTAAAATATTTAGAGGCTTCTAAATATTTATTCTATCAATCTAAAAATCATTTGAAGTTAAAATAATTGAGGGAAAATATCTCCTTATCCCCGATTTTTAACTTATGTATCTCATGAGACCCATGAATTGAAAATATTACTTGTAAAAAAAAAGTCTCCATCTTTTCTATCTTACAACCCCGTGGACTCCTTTAACCATAAAATTTTGACCCAAACAAATACTAAAATGACACCCTATTCAAACTCCATCTCTCTCTCCCTAAAACTCCATCTCTCTCTCTTCACTTCTCGATGAGTTTACCAGCCAAGGGGTTTAGCTTGAGCTCGAACATGAGCACACCTTCTTATGTGTGAGAGAAAGATAGAGTTTTAGAGAGAGAGATGGAGTTTGGGTTTTAGAGACAGATGGAGTTTTGAGAGAGAGAGAGGATAATGTGAGAGATAGAGATGGAGTTTTAGAGAGAGAGAGAGATAGAGTCATTTCATAAGTTGTTGAGGTCATTAATAAATGGTCAAAAGGGTTTAGGAGGTTGGAAGATAGAAAAGATGAAATCATTTTGCTTACAAGTAATATTTTCAATTCTTGGGTCTGTTGAGATATAAAAGTTAAAAATAGGGGATAATCGGATATTTTCCCAATAATTTATTGTAAATTATTTTGGATTTGGATCCAACTAAGTTAAGAAAATATTAATTTTGTTGAAATACTATATCTTTTATTATGGACTATAATCCACAATCACTTTCTCAGACTGATCCAACAATTCTCATGACCCACATACTATTGCACACACAACTCTGTGGTGCATATTGGTGTAATCTCTCGCACATGTATATATATCACCATAAATGGTAATTTTCCCAACATACATACCTTGTGATGATTCAAGATGAAGCTTTGGCCCTAGTTCCTACATGCCTACCATCTCACACAAAAGTCATACAATCCCTTGGCTCTACCTTGAGCAACTCTGACGTCATCAAGGGATAACCTTGCTAACACTCATCAATTATACTCCATACTTGGGTATTTAGGGTTTTGGAACTTGACTGACCTAACTTGTTTAGCCTAGTCTGAGTCTTGACAGACATCATTTGCCAAACTTGATCACATAGGACCATACTCCTACTGGAGTTCTGTTTTTCATTATATCAAGATAGTGATTACATGCTCTCATAAGGTTTTTAATGGCCACAAATACCCAATAATTTTTTATGAAAGAGAGAGAGAGGAATGATTTCCTTACCTGCTAGAGAGAGAGAGGGAAGAGAGATGAAAGAAAGAACATAGGCGAGATAGAGGAGAGCACATATGTGAGAGAGAGAGGAGATGAGAGAGTGAGAGAGGAGAGAGAGAAGGGAATAATGGGTTTGGAGAAGAAGGGCTAGCAATCCTGGGCGAGATTGGGGCAGCGAAAGAGTTTTAACCCGAGGCCCATCGAAATAGAGATTCCCTTTTGAAAAGAACTTCTCAAAGGTTTGTCTTCCATTGATTTTGGCAGAAGTGAAACCTTACCATTTTGAGGATGAAAGTGGCTATTATCTTCCACAAAAATTATCTGCCATATAGCACTTTCATGCGTCAAACGTGGAAGTGCTACAGTGACGGGGAGATTTGTTTTCCTAATCAAACACACCCTGAGAGAGAGTGAAATATCTGGTGGCTGAACGGAGACGTAAGCAAAGAAATGTGGGGTGGTTAAAAAAGTCAAATCCATCCATCCATCTTCCATTTTCACGGCTCTTAAAAGCGATGTGGATGTGCCAACTGCAACCAATCAAATTCCGGACCCTCATTGGACAAGTTGTCCTTCCCTGTCCACCTCATATCTTCCGTCCCTGACCCACCAAAAATCACAATGGGGAAAGCGTTCACAAAGACAGACCACACAACCATGAAAAAGCCAAAACATTTGAGAGAGAGAGAGAGAGGAAGATTTCTCGTCTCCAACAAAAAGAGATTTTACTCTCTCCAATCCAATCGACTACTGAAAATTGTTACGACACGTACTTGAGCCCTGGCCACATACCACCTGATTTCATGTGGGCAGCGTTATCCCACATACTATATACATTCATTCACACCCCCATCCTCTCACTTACTAAGCATACTTGATTTTTTATGATTAGTGAGTGCTTCATACCCCAAAGCTAGAGAGAAAAACACCACAGCGCTTATGTCTAGAACAAGCCTGGTTCGAAGACGGAAACCCGCGCATTGTAGGCGGAGTGCCCCATCTGTGACGACTAGGAAATCAACAAAACCCAAGTGGATCATGGAAAATGTAGGCAAAGAGAGAGATTGTAGAGAGAGATTGCAGGAGAGAGAGTTCTCAGATGATGCGGCAGAAGGTGGGGAAGAAAGAATTGAAGGAAGAGAGAGATTGCAGAAACACAGAATGATGGTTGCGGGGAAGGTGTGGATACCAGAGACATGGGGTCAAGAAGAGCTGCTCAAAGAGTGGGTCGATTGTGGTGCCATTGACCGTTCGCTCATGCCAAACGGCCTGGTGTCCGCCCGCAACGCCCTTGTGGAGGAGTGCCGGAGGGCAGGCTCCAGCAGCTTGGAAATTGATCTCACGGCATCGTGAAAATTAGTTAAGTTTTGATTTCTGTTTGTTTTTTTGTTGTTATATCAATAAGATTTTTCTATATTCCTTGCCGACTATACTTTTACATTTATGCTTGCATAAGTAATTTTGTTACATGAATTGGTGTTCCCGATTAGAGGATGGAACACTTATGAGAAAGTGAAGTTAAGGAAAGTTAATTGTGCATCAATCTTATCATCACTTTGGCCCTATGGGCTCAAGTCTTTGGCTTCACCCCGTTAACCGAAGTGAAGCGAATCATGATCCCAATAAATTTCTATGTAACTTTATTAACATTCTTCGATCATTTAAAAATCCTCTATAACAATATATATCCATGTTACATTATTAAGTTAGCATTAAGGCGTGGATACATATCATGAAAATAAGAATGGGACATAATTTTAAAGAGATTTTGAGGTACTAAGACACATTCATTCCTTTAAGGGAAGAGGGAGAGATAGAATATCTACCTATTTTGGGAGAACTAAATTTGAGAGAGAGCACAACTTAAAAGATAAGAGAGACGCTTATCATATCATATTTTTTACTTTCATATTGTAATTTTAGAGAGAGTGAGAGAGTGGACACAATTTGAGAGAGAGAAATTAAGAGGTACATGGAGATGAGAAGGGAAATTATGGTTTCTTAGAATTTTGGAGTTATAGCCCAAAAGAGATTTTTACCAGATATCATTTCCAAAAAAATGATGGAGAGATAGAAAGGTAAGTAGTTGAAGAGATTCACACAATTGTTTCCTAGATTTGGAGTGATAAACCAAAATAGATATATTTACAAAATATCATTTGCTAAAGAGATGATGGAGGGAGATAGAGAGGTACGTGGAGATGGAGAGATAGATAAAAAATATTTCCTAGATTTTTGTTGAGTAATAAACCTATATACATTGATAAAAGGACATCTACTAAAAAGGATATAGGGAAAGATAAGAAAATACTTGATAAATACAACAATACATAATCCCTTAATAAAAAATTCTTATCTGTCCAATATTCGTTCATGATACCCAACAAAAATTTGTAAAATCCTCCCACGTCTCTCATCTCTCTCCTCTAAGTCTCTCAAAATTATAGGAAAGATAATTTTTGAAAAGAAATTTGGTTATTCACAAAGAAAGCCAACATGAGTCCCTTTTTTTTTTCTCTCTACAAGTTACTAAACCAAAATTACGTGAAAGATAATCTTTAGAGAGAGAATTTGGTGAGTCATAAAGAAAATTAAAATTAAAGAAGAAAGCATGGAACTCTCTCTCTCTCAACATGTTACGAGGTGTCCTCCTTACTCGAAGAGGCATGCATGGCATGCTTTCCATGTAACTATTATTTTTACTCTTATTTTCTTTCACATTGTTTTGCACCCAACTCTCTATATTGTCTTATCTCAAGCTCAAGTTCAAGCTCCTATGCTATTTTTTCATTTAATGGATTTATAGTGCATCAAAGTATAACTTTTGCGCTTTTCTTGGCCTCACTTAATTCTTTATTCAACTTCAAGCAAATCATGCAAACTTAATAGAGGGGTTGAGGGTCCTTTTGTGGTTTTTTCACTATTACTTTTGCTTAGAAGTTTGTTTAGGGTTCAATGTAAGAACCATATAATTTTTAATTATTCCTCTGTATGTTAAGTATATGCAAATATTGGTAAAATATTCGATTTTAATTATTGGCCGGATTTTTATATAGAGAACATGAAGTTACACTAGATGCTTGCATAGATAAAAAACTACACCCTAATAAAATATATTATGTCTGGACCTATGTAAAATTTCGTTTTTTTGTGAAATTCATTGTTTAATTAAATCTATTTAACTTTTTGAAATATGCCTAATATATGCATAATTATTATTATTAATAACCTCATGATAATAAATATATTTAATATTATAATTATCACTCTTTAGTGATAAATATTAACATATATTAAAGTAGTTTTATTGTAATTTTTAATAATGATTATCACTACTATAAACTACTATATACTAATATAACTATTGCATTACTGTCACATAAATTCGTATATTTGCGTATTATAAACTATATACCAATATAATATTTATTAGTTAAAACATTGACACCTAAATTTGTTAAGACCTCTTTTTAATATTTTTTTAATATATTCCATTCTAATAGGCCATTCTTTAACTCTCTCTAATGAAACATATCATCTTTAGTCAAATTAGAAGTAAGTTCACATTAAATTTGTTTTGTGAACAATTGGTTTAATTATTACTGTATTTATTTTTCAAAAATATTTTCTAAACTTTTCAAAAATTAAAATTGTGTAGTGCTTATTAAATTTATATGTTAATATTGCTATATTTTTGTTGAAAATGTATTTGTTTCAAAATAGTTTGTAGTCGTAAAGTACGGATCTTCACCTCTGATTCAGTCTTTACTACTACGTACTTCCATATTGTTTTAGCGAGAGACATTGATAAGAGAAAGAAAATTTGTATATAGAACGAGAAAATTTTATGATTTCTCATTTGTTGGTATTACTTTTGACTGAAAGAAAGGCACATGTGATCTAGCTGGAGTATATAATAATTTTTTTCTTTCTTTTTCAATTCTTTTATCTTCTTCACAGCTTAGATCACTCACAAATGCTCCTTTTACAACATAATCATTTTAAATAAAATAAAATAAAATAATACAATAGGATCTCAAGAACTTGAAGCACTCAAACCTCACTTTTCATTAACAAAAGAAAAGACACAACCTACACTTAGAAATAAAAGACAAAATAAATATAATATGAAAGATACAAAAGAGGGCGCCGGAGATTACCTTAACCGGACTTCTCACACTCCACACCGAGTTGCCACCTTTCGATGGCACGGGATCCAATGGTCAATTTTCAATCTCAACTGTGAAAGCAAGTTTGGACAAGCCACACCAATAGAATATGAACCCTTGAGATCATAAACTCAAACCCTAGGTGAATCTCCATAGCAACCTAGTTTAAGATAGAGATGCTTCTTTTCTACCACAACCCTATAGTCTAAAACCCCAAAGAGAGATAAGAGATCAAGAGAGACACCATGAGAAAAAACATGAGATGAGAGAGAGAGTGGGGCATGCCTCCCTTGGGTCTTTCAATCGAGAGAGAAAACATTCTCAAAGAGACAGAGAGAGATTCTAAGTGGGGCGTGCCCCCTGGTTTATCAAGAGAGAGAGAGATGGAAAGTACATGGTGTAGAAATTTTGATAGGGTGTAACCCCTTTTTATGGTGTTTGAACAATATTAAGGTTCCTTAGGATTTTCCTTGGTTTGCCACTCATGTGCGATTTGAATATGCACCATTGATCTTGGGTGACTAGTGGAGTGAGAAATATGAGTTCTCTATTCCATAGATGGGCCATCAATATCCTATGGAAGGTGCTAAACTATTGTCCCCCACTTTCTAAATCATTTTCCCATCAATTAAGTTAAATAAGAAATTAATATATCATAATATTACCCTTTCTTATTTTTTGTGTATGCCTTCTCATACGTTTCAAAATATCATTCAAAGTTTCCTCAAGGCTTAAACTTTCTAGAAAAACACAAACTTATCATTCAAGCTTCAAAGCTTAATAACACAAAATAGAAGGTTTCTCAAGGTGGGGGGCGTGCCACCTATTTTGACACATAATGGGCCTCCCATGCAATTATATTATTTTTATAATTTTAGAAAAACACAAAATCCTTATTTGACTAGTTAAAACTTTATAAAATCAATATCTCTGTTTTTATAAATTCAAATTTGATAAATAAAATATCTCGACATTCAAAAAAATTCAAATAAATATTTTAAAAATAATATATTATTAAAATAAAAAAATTAAATACTTTGACATGAAAATGAACCATATGGTCAAGGAATAAATATCCACTAGGGTACTCGATATGCAACTGCGAACTACGAACCACACATGCTTTCTCAAATCGACCCAAAGTTACGCATGACCCATAGCTTAAGCAGAGGCTCATTAGTGGGTCACCAAAGTTTAGTCAATGGACAAGGGGTTGTAGTCCCAGTATATGAATTTCAAATCCCTCCTGGAGATGAAACCTAGGTCATCTTGACCTGATGCAATCCATAGCTCGATGGTGCACAAGGGGTATCTCTCGCACATGTGCACACTTTACCCCGAAAGGTGGTACATTGTCCCAAAAACATATATCGATGTGTATAACATGTGATGGTATAAATGATGAGGCTTTGACCTTATCTCTGAAGGCCTTCATCATACACAAGGGTTACACAATCCCTCGCCTCACTCATTCGGACATACTTCGACCTCATCAAGGGATAACCCATAGAACCCTTATCAGTTTGTTACTCTTAACCCAAGTAAAATGGGTTTTCCACAATCGGACCGACCTAGCACGTCAAGCATATTCTGGTATCAGCAAACATGGTTTGCCTAGTATAGTCCATATGGGACCACACTCCCACTGAGCTCGTGTTCCACTATATAATTTAATTTTACAAGCACTTATAAGGCCCTTCATAGGAACACTCACCGGATATCTCTGACTTGGCTTTTGAAGGCATTACAGTCTCTCTTCCTTATTTTCTCTCATCCCTATCTTTCTTATATGTCTCACAAACACATTAGGGGCAACTCCGTTTGTCAGAAGGTCTGTTATCATTACCTTTATAGGTATATAGCTAATCTCGATCTCTCCCAATTATAATATCTCTCTCAAGATCTTTTTACTTATTCTCTATCAATACATCAATCATGGCTTTCATCATCAATCCTTTTACAAAAGGATTTATGGAGACAATGACTCTTTCTTTTTGTTGCTCGCATCTCATCCCGAACGTGGTCGTATTCCATATTTCATATCGCACCATGAATCATGAACTTGTTATCACAGAAGATCATCACGTACCCTCATCGCATGGGGCCGTCTCTCCATGGACTCAAAGGAGTTCTTCAATCAAGCTGCTCCCTTTTATAGTTATACAACTAGTACCACACATTCGGGTTCCATGGGTGAACATCATTATAGTCTAATGTTCCAGCAGGCTTGTTAAACACTAGCAGGTGTCCCCATTGGAATATTTAGTTTATCTTGATCTTTCATGATAGGATATATAT